ATATTAGGCTGCCCCAAATTGAAATCTGAAACCACTGTAAAAGTCTCACTCACAGATGAACACTATACAGAAGCCTGATGATGGCAGATGAGATTCTGCCGAAACGTCGCTACAACTTTAAAAGCACAACTATAATGACGTGGGAAAATACCCGAACGAAGCTGAATGCCATCATCGAAACGTTGCCTAGATACTTCGAATCTTACGCGGGAGAAAACCCGAACAACCAAATGGTTGTTCGGGTTTTCTCCCGCGTAAGATTCCATAAGATTCTCCGCGCAATCAGAACACAGCCAAGCCCCCACCCAATCAAGTCCCACCCCCACTAGCAGTTAAAAGGAAGAAGCAGCTGCAATCTCACATCACTCTGAGAAGCACAGAGCTGGAGACAGAAGCCTGAAGATGATGAATGAGACTTCATCGAAATGTTGCCTAGATACTTCGAATCTTACGCGGGAGAAAACCCGAACAACCAAAGATCCATATATATATATACACACACACACACACACACACACACGCACGCACACACACACACATACATACATATATACACATACATACACACACACACACACACATACAGGCAATAGTGGTAGATAGATAAATTGACAGATAAATAGATGGATGGAGATAGATGGATAGATAGATGATAGATAGATAGGTAGGTAGGTAGATAGATAGATAGATAGATAGATAAATATAATGGATGGATGGAGTTAAAGGAAGACAGAGATAGATAGACAGACTGATAATCAGTAGGAATGTGAGCATTTGGACTTTTGTGTTCCTGTGTGTCTCTATTTATTTACGTGTATATTCCCAAATCCTGATTTTTTCTTGTCAAGATTTCAGAAGTGGTTTGTCTTTGCCTACTTCCCAGGGCTGAGAGAGAATTCTTAGCCCAAGATCATCCAGCTGGCTTTGTGGTAAAGATGGGAAACACACACACACACACACACACACACACACACACACTTTCTCTTTTTCTCTCTTTCTCTCCCTCCCTCCCTCTCTTTTACACACACACACACACACACACAAATATATACACATCCCATATATATCTTAATTTCTTAGTTAAGGAGCTCCAAGACAATTTGAAAGTGAGTTCACTTTGAGTTGTTATTTAATTAATAGCTTCCTGGATTTTGTCTTTCTAACATATAAGGTCTTTCTTGGAATTAAGTCATCTCATAATAGTGTTACACTCGTCTCTATTCTCAATAACTGGAAGAATTGTATTTTTTATGGAAATGTTTCAAGGGGAATTAATGTGGAACAGCTTTGCAGCTTGTGTAAAAAGCAGGGCTATCCATAATTTTAATCATTCCATTTACAAGCTCTTAAGAACATATTGATTAACATTCTTGAGAAATATATGTTGGTATAAAAATCAGAAATGGCAGACTGCGTCTACAAAGAGACTCCACATATTACCACAGATGTTCTGATTTAATACAGGTTTGTAGCTGCTTAGGCATCACTTCCATTTTCTCAAGGATATCTTATCACTTCGTTAACCTCAAATACTTTCTAGGTTTTATTCCTGTAACATGTTGGCCTGATCTGGGCCTTGGTTTGTTTTCATTCCTTACCTACAGGAAATATATATTATTGCCATTTGACATTCCCCTAGTTTTCTGGCTTCATTTTTATTCTCAACTTATTTTTCAAATATTACACACACACACACACACACACTTTGAAGCAAAAACTAAAATATTTGTTGCAATTAAAGTGGCAATTTTCAAGTTACGAATGATTGACTTTAGTAACAATAGGTTCAGCACTTAAATCTCAACCAATTTTGGCTCTGTCCAGTCCCAGGAACAATTATTATGAATCTAGAATGTCTAATTCATTGTTGTGTCTGGAGCATATACTATATTTATCCAGTCTTTGTATGAGCAACTGGAATTACACATTTCTACAACAGCTTCCACTTTAGAAGCTTCACTGATTAAATTCACCATCTGAAATCATCTCATTATTTCAGTAGGGAAAGCCGGTAATTTATTCCCAGAGCTATGTTGCATTTTGTGAATCTCTTTGTTCTATTAAAGCTAACATTGTTATTTTGATTCCTCTACCATTTATATTTAGACCAAGTATAGTCCCAGGTCTTTTATTTTCACAGTCTCGGAGCAGCATAATTGCTGAAAATCAACAGCACAATTGAAGACTGAGAAAACACAACAATGTAATTTTTTCAAATAGCAATAGCACTTACCCTTATATACCGCCTCACAGTGCTTTACAGCCCTCTCTAAGTGGTTTACAGAGTCAGCCTCTTGACCCCAACAATCTGGGTCCTAATTTTACCAACCTCAGAAGGACAGAAGGCTGAGTCAACCTTAAGATGGTCAGGATCAAACTGCTGGGCCACCACAACTTAGCAATAGCAGTAGTACTTCTACATATATACTGCTTCACAGTGCTTTACAGCCCTCTCTAAGCAGTTTACAGAGTCAGCCTCTGGCCCCCAACAATCCGGGTCCTCATTTTACTGACCTTGGAAGGATGGAAGCCTGAGTCAACCTTGAGCTAGTCAGAATCAAACTGCTGGCTGTGGCAGAGTTAGCCTACAATATTGCATTCTAACCACTGAGGGAGGGAGGAAGGAAGGAATAAATAGCAATAGCACTTAGGCTTATATATCACTTCACAGTGCTTTATAGCCCTCTCTAAGCAGTTTACAGAGTCAGCCTATTGTCCCCAACAATCTGGCTCCTCATTTTACCGACCTTGAAAGGATGGAAGGCTGAGTCAACCTTGAGCCAGTGAGAATCGGACTGTTGAACTGCTGGCAGTCGGCAGTCGGCAGAAATAGCCTGCATTCTAACCACTGCGCCACCACAGCTCTTAACTCAAATGGAGTGAACGTAGGCAAAAACAGCACACACGCACTTACAAACCCTACCCAACTCAACAAAACAAAAAACAGAAATGGGGAAGAAGCTCTCAATCATGCCGAAAGGTAGATATATCTAGCCTATCGGAGAGAAGGATTAGAGGGATATGAAATCTGTCTTCCAGGACTTGAGAGGCTGTCACAGAGAAGAAGGGATTGACTTATTCTCCAAAGCATCAGAGGGCAGGACAAGAAACCCGTCTTGACTATTGCAACCCGCTCTACATGGGGCTGCCCCTGAAAAGCATCCGGAAGCTCCAGTTGTTGCAAAATGCAGTGACCCGCATGTGCAGATCTTGGTACTCACATGTATCGCCTTTCCTGCGGGAGCTGCATTGGTTGCTGATTTGCTTCAAGGTGTTGGATGTCATCTTTAAAGCCCTTCATGGCTTGGCACCAGGTGGTTTGAGGGACCATCTAGAACAGGGGTGTCAAACATAAGGCCCAGGGGCCAGATCCAGCTCGCGGGATGCTTTGATGTGGCCCATGGGCCCACCCTGGAAACAACAAAGAACTGGGCCATGGTGCCTCTGCCAACAAAAATGGAGCTCAGGGAGGCCACACACAGCCTGCCCAACCTTCATTATCAGTTGCAACAGCCTCCGGCAGCCCTCTCCAAATGAAAACAGAGCCCGAGCTGGCCATGCACTGCCTCCGCAAGCTCCATTTTCATTGGCAGAGTGTCAACTCATAAAATATTTCTATGGTCTTTTTAGAGTTGCCAACAGAAAGGGAGGGGGGAGCAGTGTGACAGCTTGGAAATTGAAAGTGCATTCCATAAATGTTTTCAAAGATAGTAACTAGGTGACTGAAGTTTCTGCTGTGCAAAATTCTAACTGGAGAGTATGATTGATGACTCTTAGCTACGGATGTGTCCCATTAGAGAATATGAATTATGATACAACCAGGGGGTGGAGGGTAAAACCACGGTCAAGGGTGACTGAATTATGTGTCTCAGAGTCAGCTACACCCAGGCAGTGCCGGCATGTTAACTCCCAATAAATCCTTTTTAAGTTTTGGAAGTTTGGCTCAAGACTCATGATTTTAATGGGGGTAACTGCCAGAGCCCTGTTGGCTGCAGGAGTCCTGATGGCTGCAAAGGGAGGCCATCACAACAAAAGACGGAGACTTGATGAGTGACATCGAGCTGGCTGTGCCCCCAGCCATGCCCACCCCTGGCCCCCCGAAGTCAAACATCACTCTGATGCGGCCCTCAATGAAATCGAGTTTGACACCCCTGGTCTAGAATACCTCTAAGGTCGCTTCCAAATCTGTTCTCTTAACATGGACCTCCAGGTGCTTCCAGAATATTTGTTTTGTACATACTGTCAGGATTCCACCAATCGCTCTAATTAAATCATGATTCTCGAGCCAAACTTCAAAAAACTTCAAAGGATTTATTAGAGGTGACATGCTGGCACTGCCCTGTATGAAGCCAACTCTGGCATATGTAATTTACAGTCCCCTGTGACCCTGTTTCCCCCTCTCCCTGGATGTGTCATAAACCAGATTCTCCAATTGAGCACGTTCATCATTCACATTCTCCAATTAAATATATTCACGGGCAAAAGCTCTATTATTTTAGTTACAATCTTTTAAAGATAAGAGTTGGAATGTACTTTTGCTTTCAACTGCTCTTCCAGATTTCCTTCCTTCTCTATTTTTATGGCAACTACTAAAGCAGGCATAGGAATGTTTTATGAGTTGACACATACTCTGCCATTCCTAATGATTTGTAAATGGATTGCCATACCTCACATTGGCAACAAAAGTGATCAATTCTGTGTTCTTTTCTGCAGCACAAGGCCATGTGTCCACTAAGCGGGAAGGCAAGGAAACCATCTGTTACAAAAAATCCCAAAATCGTTGGGCTACCTTTAATACCAATTCAGCGCAACCAAAGTTTCCCAAGAACTAAAGCCAGCTTACTTGAGGTAAACGTTTCACATGTAAGTTTGTGTAGCTGACATTGTTACCTTGTTATTAAAGAAGGAAATTGTAACTTGGAAACCGCTTCTGAACTTTGTGCTTGAGGTGAAAAAAAATGAAACTTTAATTTTGGGTTTCACCAATGAGGTAGCTTTTTTGTTTAGAAATGGCTAGTTTGTAGTATTATGCAAAAGTAAAAAGTTGAAGTTAGATGTCACTATCTTATTCTATTGCTCCAAAAGGGAGTCAGAAGTCAACATCTTTTCTTTCTTTTTTGCCCTCTTTTCTACACTTTTCCCCTTTCCTTTTCCTTCCCCTATCTTTCCTATTATTTGCTTCTGTGTTTTTGTATTTTATATTAACTCATTAGTTTTATTAGTTGAAACTAATAAAAAAGAAGGAAATATGTGATTAGCGATAGCAATAGCACTTAGACTTATATACCACTTTCCAGCCCTCTCTAAGCAGTTTTATAGAGTCAGCCTCTTGCCCCCAACAATCTGGGTCCTCATTTTACCCACCTAGGAAGGATGGAAGGATGAGTCAACCTTGAGCCAGTCGGGATCGAACTGCTGGCAATGGGCAGAGTTATCCTGTAATATAACATTCTGATTACTGGGAGAAAAGGAAGAAAAGAAGGAAGGAAGGAAGGGAGGGAGGGAGGGAATAGCAATAGCACCTAGATTTATATACCACTTTATAGTGTGTCCTCTCTAAGCATTTTACAGAGTCAGCCTCTTGCCCCCAACAATCTGGGTCCTCATTTTACTCATCTTGGAAGGATGGAAGGCTGAGTCAACCTTGAGCCTGGTGAGATTCAAACTACCAAATTTCAGGCAGATTAAATGTAACCATTAAAGAAGGACATATATCTGTAAACTAAAGAAGCCCATGTTAGGAAAATCTTGGCTTGTATTTAAAGCACAGGCAGTCCTTGACTTACAAAATTTCCTTTAGTGACTGTTCAAAGTTACAATGGCAGTGATGAAAAGGAACTCATGACCGTTTTTCACACTTAATGACCATTGTGGTATCCCCATGGTCACATGATCAAAATTCAGGTGTTTGCCAACCAATTCATATTTATGTCCTGCAATCCCCTTTTGAGATCTTCTGACAAGCCAAAGTCAATTTTGGAAGCCAGATTCACTTAACAACCTTGTTACTTAACTTGAGGACCTCTGTGCTTCACTTAAAAACTGTGTCAAGGAAGGTCAGAAAATGGGGACAAAACTCGCTTAACAACAGAAATGTCGGGTTGTTAACTGAACGGCTGTCATGATTCACTTAACTGTGCCAAGAAACATTGTAAAATGAGGCAAAACTTACTTAACAACTATCTCACTTAGCAACAGAAAGGTTGGAGTCAGTTGTAGTCATAAGTCAAGGACTATCTATACCTACTGTGCTATTTGGGTGTGTATTTTGTGTGCATATATTGTTCAGAGTTTTGCAGCATTAATTCAGCACCAGAAAAATAAACACAGATGGCTGATGCTTCATTTAACATCTTTATAAACATAATAAGTATACAATACCAGTTGTAGATTTCTCCAACAAGGGGCAAACTCAGACAGAAATAAACATGTTGCAAGTAACTTCAGAGCAGAGCTCCAGCCTTCAGCAAGCAAGCAAGTTAGTTTCTCTTTTACTTTAGTTCAGCAGGCAGGCAAGAAGCAGTTTCATTTCAATAAGACTCAGAGCTCAACATAGCTGCAGAGTTGCAGAGCTTAATATAGAGCCACACCTAGACTACTTCTAGTTTCAGTTTCCAGCCTAGGCTACATCTAGTTTCAGTTTCCAAACTGTCCTCATTAGCTGACTTAGTTGCTACGCCTATTCATTGGCTGACCTTGTTACCATTGGCTCTATTCCAGTTCATGAATATACTCTTGACCTATATGTGTGGGCGTGTTTCTCAATATATACTATATATGCAGAGTGAATTTTATCAGGTTATGTTTTCAATAAATCAAATAGAACTCTTTCAAATTAAATGAACTGTTCACTTGTTTTTTTTTTTACACTTCGGCTATGTCCCAGGAAACCCTAAACTACAAAAATTAGTTTTGAAAGGTGTATATTTTAGAAATAAAGCAGTACATTCAGCCTCATCTGGAGCTCAGTAATAGATTTACATCATTTTAATGTTCTTTTTGAGTCAAAAAACCAACACAACAAATCAAATCAGGAGTGGTTTTGCACCATAGCAACCAAATTCTGTGTGTGTCTTCAAAATCTTTAAGGATGGATTTTAAGCTCCCCCTGGGAGGAACAACTAAGCCTTTTGAATTTAAGCATTTTATGCAATCTTGAGGTGAGGTAGGTAGAAAAATTTACAGTCTTTCCTTTGCCCATCCGCTCAAGTAGAAAACCCTCAAAGCATATGGGAACACAACAGATGGCTTGTCCATGTGGATAAGATTCTTTTTTTTTTCTTGAGTTGCCACTTTGAGAACACCAAAGAAACTTTTCAGAAATGATGAACGATAACAGCAAAATATAAATTTCTGTTTACTTTCAAGTATCTCGGTTTCTTTGGCTCAAAATGGATTTTTCTGCAAGGTTTTTTTTTTTTCCTTCCTCTGTGTCTCCTCTATGGAGGTAGCTCTAGATTTATAACAGGGAAATCTGTTAGGAACTGTTCAAAGTTACTACAGCACTGAAAACAGTGACTTAAGACCAGTGGTGGTATTCTACTGGTTTGGCCCGGTTCACGTGAACCGGTAGTAAAAAATATGGTGGGGGAGGAAGAGGAAGAGGAGAGCTGTGGAGTCCTTGGTGCTTTCTGAGCTAGGTTGTTTTATTTCAGAGGTTTCATTACCAGACTAGGTAACATCATCAGTGCTATGATGATGGTGATGATGAGGTTGCTATTTAATAATGAAATGTCTGCAAGACAACAACCAAGCTCAGAGAATACCGAGGACTCCATAGTTCAACTCTGAGCTAATAATTTCTCTCCCATGAACTGCATATATTTTTCTATACCACTCCCTTTCCCCTCTCTCCCTCCTATCTCTCTCTCTCTCTCTCCCTACCTACCTACCTACCTACCTACCTACCTACCTACCTATCTATCTACCCTGTTTCCCTGAAAATAAGACCTACTCTGAAATTAAATCCTAGCTTGATTTTTACATGTACCCCCCAAATAAGCCCTAATTGAGATCCCACCCACTCCAGAGTAAACGGGCAAAAATTTAGCTAGGGTGGGGATGGAAGGTGGTGGAGCTGCACTATTACTTACCTGTGGACAGTTGTAGCCAGACCTAACACACCCCGACACTTGCCTCGCCAGCCTATTTCTTCTGCAGCTGGCAAGGCTTTCCTGAAGGCTTCTGTAGCTGATAACAAAGCTCTGGATCGATCCAGAGCTGTTATCAGCTGCAAAGGCCTTCAGGAAAGCCTTGCTGGCCGCAGAAGAAGTTCCTGATGTCCTCGGACAGCGAAAAGAGGCCGGGGGTGAGGTGCACAAGTGAGGTTAGTCAGTAGATGGCATCCCCCGAAAATAAGACCTGGTGCCTTTTTTGGTGGCAAAAAATATAAGGGTCTTATTTTGGGGAAAACACAGTATCTATCTATCTATCTATCTATCTATCTATCTATCTATCTATCTATCT